GGAGAAAATGTTAAGGTCTGTTGACTGGTTCCGTAGCTCAGTTGGAAGAGCGATAGCCCTGGTATGGCGAGGTCGCAGGTTCGAGTCCAATAGTAGCAGTAGAGCTCCTAATAACAGTAGAACTCCTTTAGTAACAGTAGAGTTCGTCCAGGGAAGTACGTTACCTGTTTCTGCCTAGATAGAAGCCTGTTTAGAAGGGTAAGGGTGCTGGTGAATTTACAGGTACATGGGACTTGTCAACTTATGTCTCAGGGTGACGGCCATAGTGGCAGTGCCCCTCGGGTCTTTGCGATTTAAAACTCTTAGTGGCACTGCAACTGTTATGTCCCGTCACTTAGTATGTTCGTCTTAATATCTTTTAATCCACATTTCATTAAAATTGTAATTTTAATATTACAGTACATTGGTTTACACGATAACTCTACGATATACAGGTATCAGCTAATACGCATTATTTGAAACTCCGCATTTCCTATTTTAAATAAATACTTAAACATACTGTCCTAAAATTTAGATTTATCTACGATATAGTCAAGAATACTTGATAAGAATGGCGGCAATAAACAATTAGAAAGAAATACTTAAATACATTTATTTGACTGCCGAAAAAGAAAAAAAAGACAAAACGAAAGGAATAATTGTGACTTTATTTTAGAAAAAAAAAAGATTTCAAAATTTCGTGGAATTTAAATCTATTTGCAAGTTTTATTGAAATAGGTTACCGGAAAGTGCGCGAAACCGGAGTCATCCCCTAGTTTGCCACCCTTAGACGTGGAATATATCTTCAAATTCAAATGGGACCAATACTGAGGTGCTCTCTTTCCAAGAATAAAAGAATCATCAAGATCTGTTCAAAGCACTACCTGAGTTATCGCGTAACATCGAGTACATAACCAGAAATAGAGACGAAACAAGGGTCATACATTTCAGGTAACTCCACAGTGATACATCACTTATAAGGTTACCTATCAGTAAGGGTCAATGGTTAACTGACCTGTGTATACGTCTCCGTATATACCAAAAATATTCTGTAACAATGGCATGCTGTTCCATTTGGTGGTTTGGGAAAAAACAGCAGAATATCTAATTACAAAACAAACGGAATCAAATTTCATCGGTAATTAAATATTAAATATGTAATTTCGCAATTTTCGTCCATTATAGCAAAGCTCAAGTTAAACTGGTCGAATTGGAGTAAATCAATTGACGACACCCGTCACTTCTTCCGAATTCGGGCTGGTCAATCAGAGCGCAGATGTCACAGTAATGATATGGCAGAATAGTTTTCAAACAAATTAAATGACATTTCGTCTCTATTTCTGGTTATATACTCGATATCGCGTAACATATGTACATAGAAAAAAATACAGTTGTGTTGAAAAACTTCTCCTTTTTTGAAGTCGTTTAAAAAAATTTCAAGACACAATGTAATAAAAAAAATTGAAACGTCTAATAATAACTAAATAAATTATAAAAATTTCATAGCATTTGAACAATTAAATAAACAAATGACATATCTATCTATCATATCTTAATATATCTCGGCTTCGTATTCAATTGGCTAAACAAACAGCGTCTATTTGTCTCATTTAATATTCTTACGATAAAAGATTGCAGATGAACAATTTGCTCTCGTGCTTCATTTAGTAGAGTTGTATTCATACAATAACATTGTAAATGAATATTGATTTCAAGATTTTAATAACAAATAATAAAATAGCAATATAATGGATAAAAGAAAACAATCGCACAGTTACGAATACGAAACTGCTTTGGAATTGACAGGTAGGTAATTTTTAGTAAGAATAGAAGCGTGAAAGAGTTTGTCCAGGAAAGAACAGCCACCTTACTTATTTCTGACGCCAAACAGTAATATGAACATTACTGCGTGAAATTACAAGCACATGAGACTTTTTTTTTGTAATATCAAATATCACGCCTGCCCAGAACAGTTGCAATGCCACTCAGAACTGGAAATCGCAAAAATTTTAGGGGCACTGCCACTGCTCCCGTCACTCTGAGACATTAGTTGACAAGTCTCATGTGCCTGTAATTTCACCAGCACCCCTTACCCTTCAAAACCGGAACACAGTAATGCATGACATTACTGCTTGGCGGCAGAAATAGGTAAGATAAAACTTGTCATCTGTAACAGTGTCCCTCATATCTTTGCGTATTTAAAGCCCTGAGTAACACTGCAATTGCTATGGACAGGCGTGTCGTTTAACACCAGGTGCACGACTCGTTCATCCGCCGTCACTAAGAATCATAATAATTGTACCTTTCTTATAAAAAACATAAACCAACTTCAAAAGTTTGTGACATTACATCTATTTGGTTGAAATCCAATAAACCTGACTTATGAGTATCTACTAATTTGCTACTCTTCGAGGTGGAATATTTTCTTTTTTAAATTTAAATGGGATCAAATGGGTCGAATTGAGAACCTTCTCCTTTTTTTTTAAAGTCGATTAAAAGCCTTTAGTTTCATTAGAGAATTAGGTTTTTCTTTATTATTTATGATATTATTATTACGAAAACTATTTAATAGATACGGATAGCCCGGAAAAAGCATAGTTATTGCTTACAGTTTAAGCTTTTCAAGAAGTACCGGAAATACCGGGAGTACCGGTACTGAGATGAGCTCAATGCCGGAAATCAAAATTTTAGGAAACGAACCGGTTCTGCAAGCCGTAAGCGCCACAGTGCGTAACTCGCTGTTTGAAGCGTCTAACTTGAAAACGACCTAACCATATACATCGAGATTAGATTAGATCATTTAAAGCACATTTGGACGTAAAAATCTTGATTACAAGGTTTCGGCAAGTACAATGTCGGCATGCTGGTGTGCTGCTGCTTGCTGATCTTGGCGATGTTCGTGGACATGTTCGGCTTCTCCGTTGTGCTACCTTCCGCCGCCTGCGACCTCCAGCTCACCACCAGTCAACAGGGACTACTTTCTGCGATACCGCTTATTGGTTCGTTCGTTTATTATAGTTGATACTTAAATAGATTACAGACCGCATTTAAATTCTAAAAGACTCCTCTGTACATATGTTACAGTGTATTTTTTTAAGTATTAAACAAGACGCCATACAGTTCAAGGTGCCAGGGTGATCTAATAGTCACTCAGATATCGATGGCATCGCATTACGGAATTAGTTCATGTTGTTTTTTAACCTCCTACAGGAACAGTAGTTGAGTGCTATGATCTCATAACTTTGTATTGCCTCTAACTGCGCGTATATGTTAAGAAAGCTTTGCCTTCTTCAAACGTTATCAATTTTTACCTTTGTAAGAGCCGGTCCACAAGACGCGTTGCGGCGGCAACGTAGTGCCCAAGCGGTGCCGTTGCGGCGTCCTACATAGAAATATCCATGGTATAACCAAACAGTGCATTGCATCGCCCGTCGTACATGCAACCAGAGAGACGAGGTCGGGAAGTATACGCGATGCGATGCCAAAGAGGCATTGCTCTGAGCGTAAACTCCATATCGCTTAGTTGTGTCCCAACGCTGCTGCGTCAAACAGCCTGTGCGTCATTGCGGTGTGGCGCCGCAACGTAAAGTGTGGACTGGCTCTAAGGCTTTTAATTATTGATTCTCAGGTGTTATGGTATCTTCCTATACGTGGGGCCTCTGCGCAGATACACTGGGCCGACGCAAGACGTTGCTCATAGCAATGCCTATTGGCATGTTCTTCAACTTAGCTGCTAGCATTGCTCCTACCTTTGATGCACTCGCTGCGCTCAAGTTTTTCTCTGCTAGCTTGTGAGTTTACAGTGTTTTAAAACTTTAGAGGCTAAAATAATCAGCTTTTCAATTGTTTTGATTGATTTTTATTCATAAATTTAAAGAAATCAACTTCTTTCTTATGATCATCACCAATATTTGAATAAACTATTGATGTCCATATACATAGTAAAATTAATCTTTAATGGCAGTAGAGCGCTTTGTGAATCGTTCGTCCAGAGAAGTACAGCCACCTTACCTATTTCTGCTAGCAAGCAGTATTGCTCATATTACTGCGTTCCAGTTTTAAATAGTTAAGGGTGTTGCTGAAAGTATAGACACATGGGACTTGTCAACTTTGTGTCTCAGGGTAACAGCGCAGTGGCAATGCCCCTCAGATCTCTGCTATTTAAAGCTTTGAGTGGCACAGCAACTATTATGGGTAGTCGTGTCGTTAACCACCAGGCCCAGAACTTGTTCGTCCCGTCATTGAAATCCTTATCCTGATTTCCAGCACCTCGTCAGCAAACGCCGCTGCGTTCGTACTGCTGGGTGAAAGTATACCTCGACAGCAACGTAGCAGATTCATGTTTCTAATGGCAAGCGCCACTATGTGCAGCCAGCTCGTCATTTCACGTAAATCCCTTTTTGTTATTGACACTTTTTTCCTCGCTTTAGTCAGACCAAATACACTTGTCTTTAGTTTCTAACAATCATCGAGTATATAACCAGAAATAAGGACGAAGTATCATTTAATTTTTTAGAAAACTATTCTGCCAAATTATTACTGTGACGACTGCGCTCCGATTGGCCAACCCGAATTCGAAACAATTGACGGGTGTCGTCAATTTTTTGTCTTCAAGACGACTAGTTCAACTTGAGCTTTGGTTTAATGGACGAAAAATTACAGTTAATCCCAAATTAACACTGACTTTAAATACTGGAAATAATTATTTAGTAAATGGACGTAATACAGTAAAGAAGAAAATATAAAATTTTGTACTTTCAATTCTTCTAATTTAAGAAATATTTATCAAAGATCAAATCAAATCAAATCAAATCATATTGTTTATTTGCTTCGAACATGGTATAAAAGTTGTAGCAAAAAAAAGAAAACCAGTACAAACATGTTTCGCATATCCGATAGCATGCAAATGTGTAATAATATTATCTTGATTGACTATTACAATTTTAAATAAATAAGTCACAATTTTCACAGATTAAGTATGTCAAGAATTAAAAATAATAATAAAAATAAAAATTCAAGAATTACAAAAAAAAATATGTCAAAAGTTACAAAAACAAAATACATATACATATATGTCAAGAATTAAAAAAAATATTTAAGTTTTTTTTATTTATTTTTTTAATAATACATAATTATTGTTCCAAGAATTCATTCACACTGTAAAACTTTTTTACAACTAACCATTTGTACAATTCTGTAGTCATTTGTGTATATGTCAGTTTTTTTATTTCATTGGGTAGTTTATTATAAATTTTTATAAATTTTTATATCATGCCTTGAAACGTCATGCCTGACAAGCTGGCAACGTGTTCCAATGAAATATTCTTAGGGTGTAGTAGCTGCGAGCCTTCTCACCCCCTAAGAGCGTTGGCGCACTACGTCCAAATTCGTAACAGTTCCGAATCTGGGAAATGACGGTCCGAAATGTCACAGGGATCATTTTTAGCTCGAGGTGTAAAAACGTTCGAATTGAACTTAGTGCACAGGCGAGATCCGCAGTGGGTCCAAGTTTTCTACATTTGTATAGTCTCGGATACGGGGGTCTACTCTCGATCTCCGTCTGACATTCGTCCGAACCAATTAGTCATAGTCATAGTCATAATCTTTATTGCATCAATGTTGTAGTACATGGTGTTCTAGAGCTAGTGACGGTTCTCAACATTAGCCCTGTAGGGCATTGCAATAATATAAGAATAAAATTTAAAATGTCAAAATGAAAGAATTTAGTAAATTACAAATTAATAAATGGAATACATAAATTGTTGGAATACATAATTTCTTATTGAATAATGAATGAAACATATAAAATTATAAACATTCTCTTATTCTAATTACCTTCTAAAAATTCTTTAACGTCATATGGGCATTTTGCTATAAGGAATTCCTTTAACTTTTTATAAAATATTATATCTTTTTCTATATTTTTTATTTCCACTGGTAACTTATTATATATTTTTATTGACGTATGGTATGTTCCTGAACTAACTATGTGTAATCTGGTGAGGGGTAAAGCCAATTTATTTCTATTTCTTAAGGTACGTGTTTGAAAGTCTTCTGTTCGTGGATATAAATGTTTGTTTTTCCGTACTAATTTACACATTTGAATATATAAATGGAAGCAAGAGTGAAAATCTTGTATTTAATGAAATGAGGTCTACAACTTTCTTTATCTGTAATATTCACCAATATACGAATTACTGCCAAATAAGCAATACTTGACCAAATGAAAAGACGCGCGATGCGAATGAAGCTTCATACTGGATACTTGTCTTTTAATTTTGTCGAATATTACTTATTTGACAGTAATTGTTTCGGACGGATGTCGAACGGAGATCGAGGGTAGCCCCCACGAAACGAATACAAATCGGATCTTAGGCTTCAACGACGGGAAAGTGTTTTACATTCCACCTTCAGTGGCTAGTGTCTCCTCGGCCAAAGACACAGACTGAGGTTAATGTTGACTCGTATTTGAGCCTGGAACAATTCATGAACGAGACATATCACAGTATAAGCTAAACTTTCTTTCTTCCAGTATTTTCTCTTTCAATTGTCGGCCTGACCTTCCGGATCCCAATTCACTGCCTGGCTCTTGAGTTCCGACCCTGGCGCCTGCTGATGTTGGTTATCTGTTCACCTGGAATTCTAGGGATTATAAGTCTTTTGTTCTTGCACGAGAGTCCTAAGTTCCTTCTTAGCAAGAAACAAGACGACGAAGCTATGAGAATACTGAAGTCTATTCATTCTTGTAACATAGGATCTAAGGATGATTTTAAGGTAAACTATCATAGATTTAAAAACTGGTTATTACCTACAATACACAACCAATTTGCGCCGGTGTACTGCTCTAGACTCAATACTGGTAGCTGCTCGATTTATACAGTCCGTGCGCGTATATAATCAACACCAACAAAATTCAATTAAAACTCATTTAAATATATGTATATTTATATTCCACAAGTGAAATTAATCCGGACATGTTCCATTAAATAAATTTTTGTATTTAATGAGGAGAATTCTCCGAATTACCAAGTGTAGAAATTCCTGAAGATAATACATTTGCTCATGAAGTGTTCGGACGGAACCTATCAGGGTTATTTATATTATATATAATGATTAGTTGAAAGGGCGCATATGACATTTTTTCAAAAAAAATATTGATATGCTGCCGTGATCAGTAAAAAAAGGCCGAACTGTCACTATTTTTATTTTTTCCAATGTGGATAAATTACCGCAAGAGAAAAGTAGATATTTTTTAAATTTCATTCTTTAATTATATTTTCTCGTTTTGATTTTTTGTCACAAGCGCCCTTTCAACTAACGGCGGGAGAGATTTTTGGTATGTACTTACATTCAATGTTGGAAGGACACAATCCATTTTGTCTGAGCCAACAACTAATGCCGCGAAGACTTTGTAAATATGTTTGGTTAGGTAGTATTTTGATTTAATTCTGTTTGAATTCTATTAAGTGTTTTTTTATATATTGTTTCTCTAATGGGGCCATACTGTATAAATATAACACTTTTAAATGTTAACTGTGATAAAACAATACTATTTTTTTTTTCACTTCAGTAATTTTTAAAATTTTTTTTTATTATAACAAGCGCACTATCCACAAAACATGCGTTCAAAAAGTATGAAATTTTGGGACCCCAGTCTTCATGTTCTTTTTGATATTCGGTGCCGTTTCGGTTTGGGCACCCAAGCGCAGTCCCGACGTCCTTCGATGTTGGTAGGTCAATGAATGGGGCTGACATTTTCAATAATGATCAGATATTTGAGAAATAAACATATATTATAGTCCACTTCCGAATGATTAATAATGAAAACGGAAACAAAGTTGCTAATTTGCCCACTATTATTCTTCTTCAAGATCACCACAGTCTACCTCGAAGAGACACAAGTAAACACCATTAACGAAAATACAAAAGTGTCATTCGTCCGCAAGATGTGGAATCAAACTGCACCACTATTCAAACCTCCACTGCTCAAAAATTCTCTTATAATTTATTACTTGCTGCTCTGCGCATATATGACGTAAGTACGTAAGACGGACCAGGTTTCAAATGAAGTAGCTTTGGCAAACATTTTCCAATTGCATGAACTTACAAAAACATTATTTATTTATAAATTTCCAATATTATTATTGTCTATACAAAATTGCCATCATCTTATTTTCTAATTCAATATTTCTCAGCTCAACAGGCTTCACAATGTGGATCCCTACGATGACAAACGCCTATTTCAATGGCAAAGAGGCTACAGGGAAAACTTTATGCGAGGTTGCCAGCACGGCCGCTCGAAAAAATAACACTGTAAGTAAATGTTAATTTTAAATAAAACAAAATAGTTAAATATTTATTATAATTATTAATACAAAGATCAAACACTTAGAAAAAATTCCTTCGAATCTTCTGGATGCAAACCGACGTCTTCTACCATACCGTGGCAGACGGTATAGCAACTGAGCCACGGAACGAACCTTTGCATTAATAATCATAACAAACTAGGGGAGTAATTAAACATAAAAAATAATTGAATATCAATTCAACAAAAATTGAAATACAGTGAATAGCGACATCTCTAGCCGGAACTGGTAGCTGTAAAGGTATCTAACTGGATGAATAGATTTCTCATAGATGGCGCTACGGCTAAAAAGTCGTTGAAAAACCAAATACAAAGACACAACAACAAGCACACAGCAAAATTCGTGAGGTGCGCTGGTTCGTTCCGTGTCTTAGTTGGTATAGCGTCTGGCATGGTATGCTAGAAGACGCCGGTTCGAATCCGGCCGGATCGAAGGAAGTTTTTCTAAGTGTTCGATCTGTGTATTGATATAACAAGCTAGTGGAGTAATTTAACATAAAAAATAATTGAATATCTATTCTATAAAAATTGAAATTGTAATTGAAGTTTTGCTTTTTTTTATCATTTCAGACTAACCATAACTGCGACAACGTGATCCCACCTATAACATTATACTCAGTAATGGTCTATTCCGGTGCCGCAGCGATTCTGAACACTCTGCTCTCGTTCATTGTGAAACCTTTAGGAAAGAAAAAGACAACACTATTGGTGTTCATTCTCTCAATTTTGTTTGGAATATCGCTGCTTTTTCTGCGGGTACCTCTACTAAGCATCGCGTTTTTCTATTTGTTTCTCTACGTCTCATTTATACTGGGAAACATGAATACTTATTTGGTTGAACTCAATCCAACACATTTGAGGTTTGTTTATAATTGTTTGTTACTGTGGTTTTAGATTATGATTGCGTACGTACACGGCGTATTTTATACACGCAGACGACGCGCATTTACGGTGTTGCAAAGGCGCAAAAAGTAAATTGTAGTTAACCGACTTCAAAAAGAAAGAGGTTCTCGATTCGTCTACATTCATTTTCTATATGTTACGCGATTAGTCTGACATTTGTGAACAGATTATTTGGACGTAGTTAAACAAAACAAAAAGGATCCAATCCACATCCACTCATTTTCGAGAAATGGCAGTTTGAAGTTTAAAAGTGTTTCTCACTCTTGTTTTATTTTCAAAACTTATAATGTCATGTAACTCCCGAGATATTTATTTATTTTTATATATTAATTAAATTTTTGTTGAATTTAGATTCAATTATTATTTTGTGAAATTACTCCACTAGTTTGTTATAATTATTAATACAAAGATCGAACACTCAGAAAAATTTCCTTTGATCCAGTCGGATTCGAACCGACGTCTTCTTGCATACCGTGCCAGACGCTATACCAACTAAGCCACGGACCTCACGAATTTTTCTATGTGCTTGCGTCGTGTCTTTGTACTTGGTTTTTCAACGACTTTTTAGTCGTAGCGCCATCTATGAGAAATCTTTGACAGATTTATCACCCAGTTAGTACCTTTACAGCTACCACTGGCGAGAGATGTCGCTATTCACTGTATTAATTAAATTTTTAATTAATTGATATTCAATTATTTTTTTGTGAAATTACTCCACTAGTTTGTTATAATTATTAATACAAATGGATATTTTTATATATGTTGGATTTTTTTTGCTGATCTAAGAGGTTAGACTTTAGAAACCGTTTGGTACATTTTTGCTTAACTACGTCCATTTTTTGTTGGAAAGCGGATGCCTTAGAAGTGGGCCCATTGAAATTTAAAGTAAACATTTCACTCCTAAGGATCGTAAATTAGAGGATTTATTGAATTTCACTCACTTTCCGTTAACCGATTTCAATCTTAAACCAAATGCCGCAACGAGTACCTAACAGTTATTTTTGTAACTAATTTGTTTTACATTGACGAGCTGCAATTCTTTAAAGTCACTCTAATTTCTAGTAATAACAAACAAAGCAACTGGATAGCGCTTATTTCACAGAGTTTTATGTTTTTTAAGATTAGCGCCATCTACCTTTATTAGCAAGCATTAATTTTTAAATGAGTTTGTAACACATAATGCCATCTATTGACACGCATATTTGTCCAAAGTTCTGAAAATAATTTTAGCTCATGGGCAATATTTAAATAATTTTAGTACCAGAGAAAAAAATACTTCTATTTTATTAACCGACTTCAAAAAAAGAGGAGGAGGTTCTCAATTCGACTGTATGTTTTTTTTTGTATGTATGTTACGCGATAACTCCGGTATTTGTGAACCGATTTTCATGATTATTTTTTTCATTTTGAAGAAAATCATCCACCTCTAAGGGTGGCTGATCACGCATGAACATTCATTTTTATAAATAGCGCCTAAATTTTATTTAATGAGCAATTATTTTAATGATTGGTTTTGCTATTCCCCAATTCAAGGCGTTTTTCTCTCTCAATTCACTTTGAGTAGAGAGAACCGATTTTTATTATCTCCTGTATCAAGTCCTATGTAGTGGCGAACTAGGGGATATTTCAATTTAACTTGGCAAATTGATGTAATTCCACGTACTTTTGAGGTCGGTTTTTTTAGTACTCTGTACTGAGATTATTTCATGTCAAAGAGGATTTACATGACATCGAAGGCCATTTACTCTAAACTACTTCCACACTATTGATCAGCGCCATCTGTGTATAAGACTTCTAGGACTTTCATCTTTTTCAGAGTTACGATCAATAGTATGAAGATTACCAGTCCTTGAGTTTTTGATCCACGGAATTGGTATACGGTTGTCTCTCTCTACTTCCAGGGGTATGGCGACGTGCCTGTCTGTGGTTGTGGCGCGAGGCTCCGCTTTTATCAGCGTGCAGCTAATCGCAGAGCTCCTCGCCGATCACTGCCATTACATGTTTATGGGCTACGTCGCTTTGGTTATCTGTAAGAATTTTTAAATAAATTTTACTAAGAAGCTTACCTAGTCAGGACGCGTTCCCATTAAGTCGTAACGTTTTATTTATCGTTGGACGACTGTCGTGTCTAGCCTGTTCCCATATCACAACTATCTGTCGTGGACGTTTATTTTATCATAGAACGACTGTCGTGTCCCCACTAGATCGTGACGACAATTTATCGGTTCACGGCTGTCGTCACTTTTTTCGTCTGACGACTGTCGTTCTAGCTCTTCCCTCCCATTGTCACGACAGTCTGTCGTCGTAACGTAAAAGTCGTGAACGTGAACAGTTAATCGTGTTGTACTATATGCGAACACCTTCAGTGAAATGTACAAACTACGACACTTTAAACTGCACGACTATCTTAATAAAGTCCTGCAAGTGCAATCCTGAGTATCTTACGTAAACGTACTTAAATAAAATGAAGCAAAGCAGCGTAGTTTCCCGCCGAAGGCGCGTGAGCCCGCAGCCGCACTGAGTGATCGGACTGCCAGGGCTTTGGCGCGCAATTTCCGTCGAGTCATAGCCGCGGAATCTCATGATTAAGGACCCATGCTGGTTCGAAACACGTCGAGCAAACATTCGACTTAAATACATAAGTTATCCGTTATTTTGTTTCTGTGTCGGAGTCTCGCGGTGATTTTCTATTTAAAATAATCTTTTTTGACTAAATTTATTTATGCTCAACTTTTTCTTTAAGAAAAACAAATTCAAAAATGTGTTTTTATTTTCAGCTGGTTTAATAGTAGCAATGTTCCTACCTCCAGACACAAAGAACGAAAAACGCAGAGAAGACGAATAGAAGAATTAATTAGAATAAAATCAACACTTTTGTTATATTGTTTACGTCATTTAAATACAACTTCAGGCCTAAAACACGATACGATAAGACACTCAAAACAAACTGAAACTCAAATATAATCTATATTTGTAGATAAGGAAACACTTGAAATCGTCACATTATTTATTAAACTTGACTACTCATTCGCAAGGCTGATTCTTCTGAGATGAATGAGTAAATCTAGAGAATGCTCTTTGTATATAAATAAACGTTTATATTTATCTTTTAAAATATTTGTTATACTTATTTATACAAAGATCAGCACTAAGAAAACTGGATAACACCGGCTGGATTCGAACCAGCACCTTCAGTGCCTAACGCTCTCCCAACTGAATTACGAACGGAGCTGAAGGCGCTGGTGAATAGTGAAGATTTATAATCGCGTGCATTCGAAAACCCAAATCCTGAGACATAAGTTGACAACGTAGGACGGAACGTAGTATGCTCACGTTACTGCTTGGCGGCAGAAATGGGTATGATAACATTATCTTTTTATTGTTACCTCATCTCTAATAAACTTTACGTATGCCATTTTAGTTTCTCCTAGCCGAAGAAGATGGTTTATGTGTTGCACCATTGCGCCCTACCGTCAACGTACGAGTTGTTTTGAATTATTATCAATTACCTAATATTATTACTGTCGCATTGTCGCATAAAGTGATTCAACATTAGATTATTTCCGTATTCATTACGAAAATATCTCAAGAGACCTAAGACTCGATGATCGATAAATAATTAAATTGATTAATGACAATAAAAAGACGGTAGCATTTTACCGTTTCTTATGAAAGTATTTATTTAATGTCATTTGTATTCGTATAGGGAACTTTAGGTACATACATAGTAGAAGCACCAGAGCGTCATGTGTGTAGAAGGAACAGACAACACATAATTAAGTCTGTCAGTTGCAGAAACAACCAGTTGCTCAACCTTCTATAAGTCAAAGTCAAAGTCAAAGTCAAAGTCAAAGATTATTTATTTCATAGGTAAAATAAATTTACACTTGAAATCGTCACATTTAAGCTACTGCTCGTTCACTACGCTGACCTCCCTGAGAAGAACGAGCAAGAAACTCTAGGGATTGCTCTTTTCAAATAAACTTACCTGTAAATGCTACGGAATACACTTTGAATCAAATTTGTATGGATTCTGGAGCCATGTCGTCTTTCCATACATCTTTATCTAACACGTAGTCTTCAATTTTGTAATATGATTTTTGATCAAAATATTTTTAATGTAGTTTTTAAACTTAAACTATGAATGAATCTGTTTCGTGTTGGTGTACTTCGGGCTCTCACGACAATGTGCAAGGGAGGCACGTCTCCTACATATAAATCTCCTGTATAAGAATTGACAATTTTAAATATACAAGGAGTGGCAGACAGGTTAAACTTCCAGTACAAATACAAATACAAATACAAATACAAATACAAATATCAATTACAGAAATGAATAATTTAAAAAAATGTTATTTGCTATGTAATTCTGTGTCATATGAAGTCATATCTCATAAACAATAACTTAGTATTTTGTCTGAATACATGTTGTCACGAATACTGTAACATGTTGTCAAGAATATTGTAACTTGTACTCAAGTAATGTACCTTCACAGCCGTAGGTCCCTAGTCCGCATTTGGCGGACACACTGTCAGAAATTTAATTTTTTCAATTGTCTATAAACTTACTATTAAGTTAATACGATGTACTTTGAAATGTTTATGTTAAAAAAAAAAAACTTGTATGGTGTGTGTGTGTCTTTATTTTATAGCATCTTGTTTAATGATAAGTACTCTTGTATTGTCCGTGATGGCCACCGCCACCGCGCTGGTTTGTAATTTACATTTATATTAATTACAAGTGTTAGACTCGACTGAGGCTTTTATTATAAAAGAGTTGAATGCATGCTGCATACTGTCTGCTTCCCGAAATTTAATTATAAATGCGTATAGTCACAATGTTTTAAGACATGTTTGCATTACATTAGAATTAGTAGAGTTGCTATAAAGCCGCATTTGGGTACAAGATGTTTTTACTTGCATTAATTCAAGTAAATTTTACACCTCAGTACTACTGGTTAGTCTTTATTGTTCTGTGTCAGCATTACTGCGTAATGTGAACATAACTGCGTTCCGATTTGGTGGGGTAAGTGTGCTAGTTAAATTACAGTCACATAGGATTTGTCAGCTTATGTGTTACAACGCACGACTTGGTCGTCCCGTCCCTTAGTATTATAAAAAGAAGGTAAACCCTGTGTCATGGACACATATAGACAACGACAAATTACACCCAAACTCACGAGTGATATAAATGTAGGCCATAGAAATATTTCTCCCGGCCCAGGCCAACATGGTAACCGTTCGCCCACGAAGGCAGTTTAAACTAAACACAATAAGCAATGTAAACAAGGCATAAGATAGCGTACAACAGCGAACTATATATCGGAAATTATTCTATAAGTTATTGAGAATTATTATTTATTTTTAGTTAACTTGAGACTTTCATTTCGACAGGATTACTTTATAACTTAACAACGTTCATCATACAAGTGTAACTAAAAAAAATGTAACATAAAATTTATAACAATCCTATATGTAACATTACAAACAAAAAAAACTAAAAAGAACTAATCACACTTTCGGGTTCATTAATTTCCAATGTTTATTCAATACAATAATGTTCTCTTATTGTAGTTTATTTTAAATAAAGAAGTGGTTAAGTAAACGTCAAACAGGTTGTGTATCGTAATCATAACAATAATTAAGTTAGTTAAATTTTAAACTTATTTATACAAATGCAAATGAAGATGTGTTTAATTAATTAATTTTTTTATCAATTACGTACGAAAGGAAACGGCAATCTATTTTTAACTTAGTTTATTATTAACTGTACTAATTTTAACTTGTCAGTGAATACATAACTAATATTTTATAACCATGGCGTTAATGCTACAGACAAGTAAGGACAATTTACCAAAAGTTAATTACGAGGTTGCTTTAAATCTTACTGGTGAGTACATTATTTTTATATTGCTATGCTACGGGCCGTCGTGCACATAGTGGTAAGTGACATGTCTGTAACAGTTTCAGTGCCACTCAATATTTTAAATAGCAAAGATCTGCAGGACACTGCCACTATGCCAGCCACGCTGAGACACAATTTGACAAGTCTCATGTGCCTGTCGAAACGCGCCGGGAAAAGTGCAGCCCATGCGCGCCCGAGCTTGCTCGTGGAGGGCCTGCTTGGATCCGCCACTGGTCGGTAACTTCAAAACCTCGGCCTAGCTGTCTATACATACTCGAATACACGCCGACACCTGTGTCGGCCCGAGGTCTTCAGACTCATCTGTTTTACGAGATCACCCATTCAAATCGGCGCGTTTTGACATCACAGGCCGTGTGAAGCCGCCTTTATCCTTCAAAACCGGAACTCTGTAATACTAAAAAAAACTCTATCGCTACTAACATGCCATTGTTGACAATCGTGTGCGTCCTATAAGACCTCATAACATCTGTCACCACTCCACTTCGTATGATCTTCAGCATTTGGCAGCGCGATGGTTATTGATTGTTCAGTGGAGACCATTTCCCTTCAATACTTTCGGTGTCTATTAATTTGTCGATGCTTAAGCCTTATTGATCGCACAAAAGGAACAGCTACAAACAGCAGGTCATTATCAGACCGCTCACTGCCAAACACATGCGTCCACAATACAATGTCAATAGTAAAGTAAGACCAGATGACCTTATGACACTTTATCGTCCTTGGTCACCTGCATTTAAAAGCTCAAACTTTCTCCATCGTGTAGAAAGCCATACCTGCTCAAGTTTTCTGGGATCAGTAATTCACTAAGCACGAATAGAAATAAAACTTCTAACAATAAATCACTACTAAGCGGTGGTACGTAGTGATGTGGAATACTCGAGTCCAGGAGTCTACATTTATTAACTCGATTCAATTTTGCACGGCTCGGTGGCCTAAAATACTCACAAGTCCGAGTCAAGTCGAGTGCGAGTCATCGGAGCACGAACTCGGGTCGTAGAGCTAACTAAGTTTGAACAACACTCGAGTTCGACATCTCGACTCAAAGCGATTTCCACACTACAAATTCGCGAGGAAGACAAGCAGGGTTCAATTTTATTAAACATCTATTACATAATACATAAATAAAAAAAAACTTAATATGGTGTTTTATAAAAGAAAGAAGATATAATACTTAATTATATTACAGTATAAGCTGTAGTATAATTATACTACAGCTTAACACATCACACCACAACACCGCTCAGTAGGTACTTACCAGACTCGAGCTCGATTCGTTACATAACCTGAGTCGAACTCAAGCACGACTCTTTACGTAAATAGACTCGAGCACTAATATCGAACTCGAGTCTATTTGGACACTCGATCCCCTCGTAATACATTGAGCAGTGAGTTTCTGTATGAGTCGTGTCTTGTGAATTGGAGATTAAAATTTACGGTGAGCTTTGCGGTGAAGGAAGACATCGTGACGAAGCCTGCACGTCGAAGAAGGTTCACAACCCTAGGAAAACGTATGAAGTTCCCAAGTCGCCTGAGAGTTTAGGCCATAGTCTCCCAAAGTGGTAGTGGTGGTAGGCCTCGGAAGCAATTTGGGACGTTGTTGATGCTGTCCAGGGGGTGCCACCGCATATGAAAATAAAACCTGAATTATCTATATAACTACACTACAAATGCGAGATATTTTTTCCTCGTGTTTTTTTTTGTGTTAATTTAATATAAAAAATACGTATTTTCAATCTTTCTTGTGGTGGTGGGCGTAGAAATATTTTATCTTGCCCAAGTGTTTAAAAAGTTTGAGAACCTATGGTTTAGGTGAAATCACTACAAAGAAATGTCACTTTGTGATTATTAGAATGTGGCAAGTACAACTTCAGCATGCTTGCGTCGTGCTGTCTGCTCATCCTATCCATGTACCTGGACATCTTCGGTTTCTCTGTGGCGCTACCAGCGGCTGCTTGCGATCTCGACCTTACCACCAGTCAACAAGGATTGCTTTCTGCTGCTCCTCTTATTGGTTTGTACACGCATTTGATACAAAAAGTCAATTGCTTACTAACATAGTATAAAAAAAGCTAGTAGGACAACTCCCGTCAGTTCGGCGCTTAAATGTTTAATTCACTCGGAGCGTAGGTTATTACATTATTATTTAGCTG